TCTCTCTCTCTCTCTCTCTCCCCTCAAAGAGAGAGATGTCAAAACCCCAGAAACTGCAATTCAACCACAGCTTTTTCTCTTTTCTGTGTGTGGCCCTTTGCTGTCACAACATACCCATTTTCATTGTCTGAGGCTGAAATGTTTCATTTGAACCTTTGAAATTGAATCTAGATTACTGTTAATTTTTCAATGATAGATCATCCATCTAGTATTGGAGAAGAACGACTTTTATATAATAAATCCTACTTACAGTTTATAACATGGGTCTCTGTCTAGAAGAAAGGTACAAGTTTTGTTTCTTCACCGGGGCTCAAATCACTGATATTACATCTACGATATTTTTATGGAAATTCTATTTTTTATTGTAAGATTTCAATTTAAGATCATTGCAGTTCTCTTTTGGGCGGCTGTTGGTAGTGTTGGCCCAACCTTTAGGTCATTGCCTCGGGCACTCGAATTAGAAGAAAAATTTGGGACATCAAAATAAAATAAACAATTATATATAATTAAAATTTTAGAATATAATTTAAATACTCAATATATTTTAATCATTGAATTAATAATAATTATTAATTTTAAACAAAATTCACTATTTATTTAATGTAATTGGACCTCAAATTAAGTGCAACTAGTATTATTGTAAAAATTTTAGAATTCCTTTCAAAAAAATTTAGGGCTCTAAAATTTAACTTATTTTTTTATCTCACCCGATTTTTATATTATATATGTTATTATTTTGCAGTCTTATTATTAAAATTAATTGTCTATCGTATAATAGATACGAATAATAATTTTAGATTTGCATAAATTAAATTTAAGGTCATTTTTTAATAACTTTGTTTACAAAGTACAAGATGACTATAAAATATAGTGAATAGAAATAGTACATTACCTATTTTTTTTATTTAAAAATAGCTCTTTTTCTCTATGATATCTAGCAACTAGGAATAACCTGTGCTTGAAGGCATGATGCAATGTAAGTGAGAAGTGATAAATTTAAGGAGGGAAATTTAATTTGAATGGTTTTAAGAGAGATGTTAATAACCATTATATAAGTCTATTTGAAATCGTCGAATGAACTTATTAAAATCTGTCATGTTTATATTATTTTAGGACTACTCAATTTGTATAAATTTCTATTTTTATATACATTTAGAAAAAGAAATTATTTTACTAGTCAAACTAATTTTCAATTATATTTCTCTTTTATCTTAAACAAAAAATAGTATGTAGCATTGTATTTGATTTTCGTATTTTACTTCGATTAACACAATTTTTAATTATAAAATTTAAATTTAAAATTTGAGTTACTCAGTTACATCTCAAAACAAATAATTTGTAAATAAACATATTTTAATAAATATTTAATATTACTATTATTACTAAATAAATATTTATAAGATCTTATATAACATTTTCGCCTAGACCCAAACTAGGTTGGGCCGGCCCTGCTGGCAACAACAAAAAAGAAAGGGTTCATGTAGCCGTTGTGCTCGCCCGCCAAAACTGTGACACTTCCTTGCCAACCCTAGAATTTTTTTCTCCCCCAGTGCACAAATACATTTGTTTTTTCTTTGTTTGGTCAAAATTAGAGATCATTGTTAAATAAATGTAATCACAAATGAATGATTAAGGTAAGATAGAAAAAAAAAAAGGATGAAATTCATAGAATTACACGCTTTTGTTTAATAAGTCAAGCCATATGCTTTGCTATGATCTTGTTCTGATGCTGCAGCCACAACTGTTGTTCATGCAAAAAGTTCTGCTGATTCCTGGACCCGTTAAACATTTCTTCATTAGCCAATGCAGTGGAACACGTCGCAAAAGGGTCATTCTCATTTTGCAATGCTAGTGTGGTGTCATTTTTATTCTGAGCTGAGAAGGTTGGAGCTGCTTGAAATGTTGGTGCCGAAGAAAACGTCTCAGCACCTGGAAACACCGCCTGGAAATTGGCAGGAGCAGCGGTGGTGGCAAGGATGTCAGCAGCTGGAAACACTGCCTGGAAATCTGCAGGAGCAGCAGTGGTATTGGTGGTGGTGGCGACAGTTGATGTGGGGGTTAATTCAGGTGTATCCTGTAGAAATGGATTGTAATGTTGTGCTGGCAATGAAGGTTGATTGTATAAACTGTCCAGAGAAAAAGTGTCCAAGACGTTGGGTACATTGGGGGTGGGTTGTGTCTGTGTCGATGGTGTTGCGGCCATTTCATAAAGCACAACCTCCCAACCGGCTTTTGCACTGTCTACCACCACCGTCTCTTGTACCTTGTGTTCTTTTTCCGGCAAGGCCTCAAAACCCTTGACTACATTAGGCAAAGGTTGTGTCAATGGTGCAACGGCCTCTACTAGCTCAAGCTCCCAGTTCTTGGATGATTTTACGTTCAATTTCTTTTGTGTTTGTTCTGGTTTTTGTTCTTGTTCTTCTTGTTGTTCCGGCCATTCTCCCAAAGATACAAGATCGGCCATTGAATTCGACATCGGTAATGACCGAGTAGAACCTGTATCACTCAATCTAAATGCTTCATCAGTTTGTGATTTTTTCTCAAACTGGTCCGAATAGGCTTCCAAATCAATTGAGATAGACGGAGTATGTATCCCACTTTCTGTTGCGCTTATCAGATCCTCCAAAGATGTACATTGTGATCCAAATTCAGAACCCCTCTCTGAATATCCCTCTGTCATCGTTGTTGCCACCGAGAATTCAGATTGCCCTCCATAACTGTCATGTCGCCCAGAGATTGTCCCGGGATTGGGTGGCGCCGGAAGAAGTAAACGTGGGTTTGGAGACCTACCATTCCCTGGAAAAGAAGATTGATCTTTCAAAAACTCTTGCAATGTTTCTATTAGCTCTTCAGATATTGTTTGTACACATGGGTATTCAGAAGTCCTCCCAACACCAATGTTTTTACATAGAGTATAAAAGGCACCAAGCTCTTCGAATTGTTTTGCAGCCTTGACACAAGTTTGAAATGCGTTCACGCAAGATTGGTATTGCAAATGGAAGAAACTATCAAGAAGAAGCGCGAGCCCATCGGAAATGTCTTTGTAAAGATCAAAACTCTCTTGAACAACGGCGAGGAGAGAGATTTGCACCAACCGGTTGGTCTTGGCTGCACCGGTTGGCCTAGTGGCAATGGCTCGTTCAAGCAAACGTTGCCAAAATGAAATTCTATCGAGTAGCATTGCAGGTTTCATGTCACGAACGGGCTCGTTTGGCCTCCGGCTCCGGTGGGATGTCTCCCTCTGCCGGTGTGTATATCTACGTTGGAGTTTCCCGGTGAGAAAACAATCCAAACGCTCATCAAGATAAAGAGCAAATGTTCGAATAAAGGCAGTGAAGTCCCACGGGCTAGTGTTTGAGTCATCACGAAAGCTCGAGAGGTTGAGTATTTTGGCACCTCTTTTCATTGCATGGAGGACTTCTCTAGGGAAATATGGATCACCATTTTGAAATATTCGAAGAACAAGAACCAAGGATTTGAGGGCAACAATCCAATTCCGAGTCCGGCCTATTCTTTTTCCGATGGCTCTTGCACAGGCCGCAGCGTAGACTTTGTTGGATGAGACGAGGTCGAGGACTTCGGCGACATACCGCTNCCCCCGAGGAAAATTTTTTGGGGCCCGTTATACAGCCCAGTGCGTAGGACATATAAACCCTGTTGTTTTGGTGATTAGGGTTAATTGTGTATGGTACAGCCGCTCTCTGTATTCAACTCTCTCAATAGTGAAATCCCTGCAGCTTCGTGGACGTAGGCAAATTGCCGAACCACGTAAAATCTGTGTCTTGTTCTTTCTTGTTTCTTATTGCTTTATATTCTTGATTTGTTCTTCGATTGTGTGTGTTTGTTAGTGGATTTAAATCGTGAGAAATCTCAACAGATAGAGGGAGAGTTAGTGTGATGTGTCGACTGGTATAAAAAAGAAAGAAAGGGTAATGTGTGGACTAGCCAACAGGGAAGCCTTACTCGGGCAAGTGCTTGAAAAACACTATAATTAGCCAGGGCAAACTTTGATATGCATGTCAATTGTCTCATACAAGGCGAGTTTGTATCGAATCTTATCAAGTTCATGTTATTTTTTTTTTGGTCATGAACAAGTTATTGTTAAAAAACAATCTATTTATACTTAATTCGTTTATTAATTTGTGTCTAACGAATCATGTTGTATTTAGTTCGTGTCGTATATAATTGGTATATAAACGAATCGTGTCGTGTATTTCTTTATGTCGTGTTAACGGATCATGTCATATTTAGATACCCCTAATCTTTGGGTTGAAATGTTCTTAAAGGGTAAATCTTATATCTTAAATTTGTTTCATGCCAAGGTATACGCGACTCGTGTTCGATCAATTTATAGCCCCATTTTTTATTGTGTATAAGTCGTGTTTACTGGACCAATGATGTTGCACTGCTGGACAGATCCACCCTTTTGTTCACAATGATGGAGAACCTAAATGGGCTAGCAAAGTGTTATCTTGGGCTTGGTTTGGGAATTTTGGTTAATGCCTCAAGCCTAGCTTCACTTATAAAAACCCAACGCAAAAAATTCCGTAAATACTTAATTGGAGAACATAATTAATAATTTAATTTAATGTAAATATTGAATTATTTGTAAATTCTAATGTTAAATGAAACCTACTTTTAATCTAACAATGTTAGTTGATTATATTCCATCATTGTAAGCAATGATAGATGATCTAGGAAAGAGGCATGATCGTTGAATCTTTTAATTGTGTCAAATAAGATGGGTTTGTATTTAATTTTAACAGATTTGTGTTAAAAAATATTCTACCTATACCCGACTCGTTTTATTAATTCGTGTTTAATGAAACGTGTCATATTCAGTTCTTGTCGTGTACGAATTGTGTGTAACTAGTATGTAAGTGAATTGTATCGTGTATTTTTTTTGATTGATTTCACTCATACCCGATTTATTTATAAATTGTATATGATCAGATCCACTCGTTTGTAAAACGGATAATTTAAAAAAGACACAAACCCTGTAATCTGGTGTCACGTTAACGGTCCACTCGTTCTGGCATGAATTTGTGAAGTAATTCTTTCAATGTTAAAGTTTATACCCCCCAACTTCCAGCTATTTTCCCAAATACCCACTTAGATATCTAAAGAGTTGATCCCTCTCCCCTCTCTCTCTCTCTCTCTCTCAAGCCTAAATCTTGGGTCTGTTCTAGACCACTCATCATGTCATGTGCTGAGTGTACATCTCAGTAACATTTGTACTATTGTGGGATTTATGATCTTTTCTCCATGTTTGCTTGCTTTGTTTTTGTGATTCTTGTATTCTCTCTCTCTGACCCCTTTCTATGGTTGTTTTACTCTTTGCTTTTGATTTAATGTTTACCTAAACCCTTTCTTTTTTATCTTAGATTGTCTTGTATTGCCACCTGAACATAGAAAACAATCATATACTTTATATCTTTCTTTCCTTTTTTCAATGGTCTTGATATAACTTACGTACACTTCGATAAATTTTTTTTTGTCCGATTAAAGGCCGAAACTAAAGTATTCACGAGGGATAAATTCTTCAAGGTCTGGTCTTAAGCAATTGTCCAAATTCAAACTCAGGACGACTAAACTTACAGCTCGTCTCTATTATCACTTTTACTGTCCTCGGAGTTATATACTAAATTTATTATATATTCACACCAGCCAAATTAATTTTTTTTTTATGACCAAGAATTATTCCAAACATGCATCTTTTGGACTCGTGACTATTATATAAACTCCGGGTGTACGTAATCACACATAAACCACATGCATCATGTTATAAAGAATCTCCAACGAGACTCAAACTTGCGACCTCAAAGTATCACAGAAGTTTTGTCATACGAAACTATATGAAGGGGGTGAATACAAGTTGATTTTTGTATGCAATGTCCAATCTTTTTTAGTGTACCTCACAAGTGTCTAAAAACTTCCTGTAGCAAAGTCTAAGCTCTGTGAAATGGACAAGAATCTCATAAATACAATGGAAGTAGAGGCAATAATACAGCATGTGAATTGGCAGTATATGTGATAGAGAGGGGACGCAAAAAGAATCTCTGCTGCAACCTGCCGTGAGATTTTTAGAGAGAGAGAGAGAGAGAGAGAGAGCATATCTGACAAAGCAGCACTCCCACCTTCATGTGTGAGTTATTCTACAATGAAGAATCTGCACTACAGACCACAAAGATAAAAATAGAGGAACTAAATAAGTATATGAATTTCATTGTGTTTTTAGTATAGGGTTGGGGGTCTTAGGCACATGGCAGCCACCCCTTAGCAAAAACATAAAATTGAGTCCACTTTTGCAGTACCAAATACACTATGGTTTTTTATTTTTATTACAGTGTATTCAGATTTGTGTCGACTACTTCCTCAAGCTCTAAGACCAATTACCGTAACTCGAATTAGTTTAAAAACATGTCTCATGAGAAACAAGGGTGACTGACTCCCAAAAAATAAAATTGATTGACCCTTAAAGAGTGTGAGAAACACCAAACTTGACATCTTATTTGTAAGAGGACAAACTTGACCACTAAATGATCTATAAGGGTTATACATTATGGTTGTTTGTTAATGAGATTTATCGGATATTAAATCACTAGCAATAATTTTGGGTCCGAATATATTTTGCAATACCAAAAACTGAACATTAGTCGTGCAATATTTATTTTTTAAATAATAATTAATTTAATTATATAATTTAAAATTAAAATGATTAGAGAGACGTAGAGGAAAGAGAAATCAGAATTAGGTGTAGATTAATAAAATTGTTTGACATTGAGGAGTGTTGATTGAATTGTCTGATATTGAAGAGTCGTACAAAGAAAGTAACGTTCTTAAGTAGGACAAAAAAAAATTAGAATGAATTTCGCACTATTAGATCAAAAGTAAAAAAATTGGATCAATATTGATTATCATTATATTTTTATAAATTAAAATTTTAATTTATTAATATTAAATACATAAAGTAAGAAGCACAATAATTAAACAATAAAGTAAGCAGCACAAATGTTTGACTTTTTTTACAACACTAAATTACCATAAAGTATCACCTCCTTGGTAATCACAATCCCATTTCCTACTCTTGATTACCGCAATCCAAAGTAGGCTCATAATTGGTTGCTTTTATGAGTTTAGTATTGTTAGATCATCTTCAACTTGGCTTTCTAAAATAGGTAGTTAAAATATATTTAAATATTATATTTTTTATTTTAACTAATTATTTTTATAAGTTCATTTCAATATACTCTCTATTTTAACTAATTATTTTACTCACATTTCACTAATTTTCAATAATTTAAAAAGAATACATCATATATAGAGAGAGATAGAGAGATAAAGCGATAGAAAATTTAGAGAGGTTAAATGACTCTCCACATTTGGAGAACCAATTGAGTCAAATGAGAAATAGAGAGTAAGTTGGAGAGTGATGATGTTATTAACACGATCGAACAAAGGAATGAATGTAAGGTGTACTAAACAGTTTGATTTAGTTCAATCTAAACTCCAAGGCTTTTGGAAATAAGATCTGGGAATAAGGGTTATCACACAGAGTGTTTATAATAGTTCACCAACTCAAGAGTTTGACTAATCTATTCTCAAAAGAATCTCTTACTCCTAGAAATATATTGATAACTGTGGAGTTTACAGAGATTTTTTTAGTGAAGATACAATTGCTTGTTGTTTTTGTCAAGGATTTTGCCTCTTATTTATAGTTATCCCTGGGCCTAGCTTAATCTGAGGCAAGATCGTTGCCCCTTTCTTGTAACGATCGTCTTTATTGTGCGACAACTGCGGTGGGTGTTGAGACGATTACGAGTCTTACACTTGATAAGTAACTATTGCTACTAAGGGGGTACTTGCTAGGATCTAGCTGTCGTCTGAACAACCTCCCTTGAGACGCAGACACAGGGAACTTGAGATCTAAAGTCAAGGTCTGCAAATAACCTAAATGAACTGAGTTCCTGACCTGAGATAGTATGCCCTACGTTACCAAAACTTAACCTTAGACATATTTGAGGTACCATCAGAAAATATTTTTAGTGTTCGACTAGTTAAAATAACTAAAAGAAAGGAAATAAAGAGTGAGTTGGAGATGCTCTTATTTATCATTAATCAGACATAAACAGTCATTTTGGCTCCAAGTAAACTTGTTAACAGATCGAATTCAAATCAAAATTCAAACATCCCAATTCCATTTATAATCAAACATCCGGTCCGATTACTAGATCCAATTTGATCTATAATGATATTCCATCATAATTTCAACAAATAACTACACCTCACAAAAAATGCTCAATTACACCAATTATGCACTTACTATTTCGGAGTCTTTTGTATTCCTCAAGCATTTCCTCTTTTAACATATCTTGTCGATACTTAACCAATTATGTCAATAATTGTATGATTTTTTTCAATCAAAGACACTTGGATTGTGAATTTAGCATTCATCATCCAAACAAAAGTGTTGTGTTCAACAAGGATCCTATGTGACTCTTGATATGTACTTTTAATCAACCTTTTTAAATTGTCGTGGCGAAGGACCTCAAACTCAAAGACCTTCAATGCTTTCTTTATCTTTACGTGTAA